TATATATATAATATACCTATATTATATATAAAGATCCGAGATGAAGCTACGAAGCGTGAGAACGAACGGCTATCTATGGAGCGTTGCTATTGTGTTGCACCGAGTTTTTGTGTCGGACAAAGAAGCCTCGGGAAGGAGTTCATGGGCGTAGGATTAAGAGGATCTATCTTTTTTTTCTCTCTCTCTCTTTTTTCTCTGGGAACTGCCAGGAAGAGAGAGAGACGGGCTCGAAGTATCGTGGCAATCAACAAAATTCGTCAATGCCGCCACCGGACTCATGTGAAACGGTCTTCCATTTAACATACACACCGCGGCTCGAGCGGTGGAAAGAGAACGTCTCCTATTTTTCTCAGATCGAACCGGAGAGAAACGTTCCGAGTAAAGGACCTCGTCGCTGTCGTCGATTCGTGACACTGTACTCAACGGAGTTATGGATTGCCGTGTCTAGCGAAACCGCGAAGAATGTGACGTTGATGCTGACGATGCTCGTTACTCCGCCATCTTTCGGTTTCTCGCCATGAACTGTGAGGTAGTGTAGATGGTAACGTGAATTGGAAATTTGGAAATTTTTCAAATTTTGCAGTTTATCGTGTTTGCGGAGTAATTAGAGGTTTATAAAGGTGAAATGAAGTTTGTTAGAGGTGATTTGTGAATTTCGGTGTTTTGGTAATAATAGTTGATTTTTTAGGTTAAGTTGTGGGTACGAAACTATCGTTTAATAGCATTGAATGATTCGACGACAATACCCGGCGAAGTTTGTTAGCATTCTGTCTCGATTTAAACCGAAGTAACTATTGAAGCAGCTCGCGCGATCATTCAATGAAGTTCATTCGACCGCGACGGAAATAGATCGACGCCATAGAAAATACGAACGCGGGAACGCGAACGTTACATGTCGATCTATCGATGTCTGTAAGTTATTCAACCACGGCGATGGAACATTTATTTTCATATCTCGGCCGAATGTGTTTAACGTGTGCATAATCACGTTCTAGAAACAATTTGCTGGAATAATAATGGAATTCCTTTTCGTTGTCGATATTTTCGCTAAATAACAATAATTCTAATTATTTCTTAAATCAACCAGTAAGATAAATATTTGCACGTTTAAAAATTGGTTCTACTGAATGTTTGGGAGGAAAATCTGATTGCTGTTTCTCTCCAGGACAATGTTTACGAGCGTCCGCAGCGCCATCGCGCGGAGAGTCCGTTGGCGGCAAATTCGAATCCACGTTTGTATCGTCGAAGGAAACGGCGCGTTGAATGCGCCTCTCGAAGAATTCGGGACCAGTAAAGAGAGTGTTTTTTTGGTGCTTCGTGTGTACTCTGAGTGTGTTTAGTGTGTAGTGGAGACAGTAGTGTACCTGGTAGCCGTCGTAGGTCCAGGATCCGAACTTCATGTCACAGTATTGGTCGTCAAAGGGGAACCAAGTGATGTCTATCTTGCAAGTGCTCTTGAAGATGCCCGGAGGAACGTACAGGCAACTGCCGTTATGCGCGACCACCACGTTTGTTTGGTACGTCCCGTCGAAACCCTCATCCGCACTAACGTATTTATATTACACCATTAATCATCGTCATTAGCTGCGTTCGCGTCGTTTTCTTTTCTCTCCCTCTCTTCGTTTCGGCCCATTTGCAGAAAATATTTCGTCTTTAACTATTGTTTCCTATTCTTTGTTTTTTAGATGATTGTCTTTTAATAAAGACAAGACAATGGGTGGAAATTTCAATGGACGAAATTGAAATTTTTGCTTCGTTCTTTGTTTTACGACGAGGACGAACACGTTTGAAACGAATGTAAATTTTAAATGAAAGGTAATTCTTAATTACTTAAAAAATCATTCTTAATTCTCATTTTTGTCGATACACAAAGTTTTGTGTTATAATTTGGATAAAAGATTAGCGTTGCTTGGGAGTATTGAATGGTTTCAGTTTTGTTGGCTCCAAGGTGTCATGCGATCAGAAACATGTAAGAGATTTAAAAAATTGAATAGTCTTGTTAATCGGTGACTATCAAATTTTATTTTTATCTTTCTTTTTTTTTTGTAGATTTCTGTCATTTTCGCCTACGAATTTCGTCAATCTGATAAAACGATGCTTTTCAAATATTGAAGCCATTGTTCTCGTTAATGTAATTATACTCGGGATTCTGTTAATCAAGAGAAATTTGTATGCAATTAACAAAGCAGAGAAAGCACGAATCCTTTGAATATATTAATTTCTCATTCTCCAAGAAGATTTGCTCATCTTCTTTTCCTCTGCAGTCTGTGTGCGATTCTTTTTCTTCTTCTTCTTCGTAAAACAAACATCTCCCTCGTAAGCTTGTAAAGAAAGAAGAAGGCATTTATCCTAGGGGTATGAAGTAAAGTTCAGCAAAATGTCACTTAACTTCAGTAACGTTCTGTTTCGCGACGAACAGAACTGGTTACAGATCCTGATACAGATGAGAAAGGAGTCGCTTTTCATAATTTTCTTCTTAGGAATGAAAAAATACTAAGAATATATAGAAACACTGAAAATCAGCGTAATGGAATATTTAAAAATTGAGAAAAAAAAGTATCGACTTTTTCAGAAAAAATGCAGGAAGTAATTTTGTAATCTGAACATTTTCCCTAAACTTATAAATCTATTCCAAATTATTTTATTTTTCCATATTATGCGTATTATGCAATTTATTTCGCATATTGTGTAACAAACCTGTTTCTTTATTTTCTAATTGAGAAAAATTTTCGGAGAAAATGTTTCGTAGCAAACATGTGTTGGAAATCGGTGAACATAATTCATAAAGAAAAGTGTATTTCCCTTCCTAAAACTTCTTCCAGAGTAGAATGTTGCATGCTATTCTTGTTAAAAGTTCTTGTTGAAAAAAAGGCAATAAATATTGAAAATGTGTAAAAATCGTATTTCACGAAATCGTGGATATCGAATATTATAGGAACATTAATCAAAGAGGCGCCACTGCACCTTCAAGCCTATCGAAGAAACAAAGAAGTTGAAAGGAATCGTATTTCCTGGTCTTTCACGTTCATCCTCTAGAAATAATTCGAAGCGACGACTGAAAACGGCGATAAACGATAAAGAAGGACATCTGAGCACGTTCTAGGAACGAATTACAGTTTCGCTCCTGGCATAATTTGTAGAAGTTGTTTATTAAACTTCCGGTTGACTTTATTGCGCTGAAATGAACTTGTGAATTAGTAACGAGCAGAGAATCGATATGTACTAAAGAAACGTGAGAAACATTTAACCCTCTAAATTCAACAAACTCGATAATAAGTACTGCATTATCATGTTAGAAGAATCTTAAATTAATATTGAAGAATTTTGTCTTAAATTAATATACTGAATTGAATTAATAACAAAGATTTTTGTCTTGAATTAATATACTGAATTAAATTAACAACGAAGGTTTTTGTCTTGAATTAATATACCGAATTAAATTAACAACGAAGATTTTTGTCTTAAATTAATAGTGAAGATCTTTATCTTAAATTAATAGTGAATTAAATTAATAACGAAGATTTTTGTCTCAAATTAATACTAATTTAAATTAAAAATGAAGATCTTTGTCTAAAGTTAATACTGAATTAAATTAATAACAAAGATTTTTGTCTTGAATTAATATACTGAATTAAATTAACAACGAAGATTTTGTCTTAAATTAATACTGAATTAAATTAATAGTGAAGATCTTTATCTTAAATTAATAGTGAATTAAATTAATAACAAAGATTTTTGTCTTGAATTAATATACTGAATTAAATTAATAGTGAAGATCTTTATTTTAAATTAATAGTGAATTAAATTAATAACAAAGACTTTTGTCTTACATTAATATACTGAATTAAATTAATAACGAAGATTGTTATCTTAAATAAATACTGAATTAAATTAATAACGAATTCACTATTGATCCTTACTATTCGCTATTAATCTTCACATTAATTTAAAACATTCACAAGTTCAACACAAAAAAAAGATCCTCAAAAGGACAAGTCTCAAAAGCTCCAAAGCAAAAAAAGACTGAAACAACTTATTCGTCATTTTTCAACAACTTCCATTACCCAATCCGTTTACTGTTACATTCGCCCGTATCAAGTCAGAATCCATTTTTCCCCAGGAGAAGACAAAGGAGAGTAAACGAATCAGTTTCATAATTTAGCAACGCGTGTCTCTCGTTTCCCGAAAGATTCTCTCGCTAAAGCAGCTTATCTCGAGAGGAGTTTCAGATGAAACATCGATAAGAAGAGAAACATCAGTTTGAAACATCAAAATACCTCGATATCTTTTATTTCACCCCTCTATCTTGCGCACCTCACGGCACTAACTTCAGCATTATGTCGGCAACGATACTTCCTTTCACGGTGGAATGAAGAAGGTGAGAAATATTCGAACAATGTTGTCCCTACGACGCCCGAGCAGTTTGCAGAGAATTGGAAATATCTTTCGGCGAAATATTTACACGAGACGCTCGAGACGAGTGTCGTCTGGCGATTTTATCGCGAGTTTCTCTGGAACGCGGGATTTTTTTTTGGGAGAAAATGTTGAAAATCAATCTTATCGACGTGTGAAGAAAGAAAAGTGTGTTTAGAGTTAAAATTTTGCTCTAAAAGGGAATGTAATTGTTTGGCATTTTTTCTTATTTTAAATGCTGGTGAGGGTGTTTTGAAGAATTTTTAATTAGCATCGGTAGGATGTATGTGTCGATGATTATTTGCCAAATTTTTGCACGTTCTGAATTGCAAGAAGAAAGAATAATTAATAGATGTGATTGCAAACACTTGTGTTAGCATGTATTGTTAGTCTTTATAACTATTTAAAAAAATTGACGTTTTTCGAAATTGCTTAAGAATTGTTAAGAATTTCGTCAATTTACGCTATCCTTCTGTTCTAATGGGTTTCGAAATATGGAACTACAGTAAATACGTTTGCTACCACCACTTTGAGGGCGATTGTCATCCCTTCACTGTACACGATTGTCGATAAAAAATAAAAAACGTGTAAAATTATTTTTCAGATCTCTATCACACATAAATTTCATAAAAATCGACGTGTGACACTTAGGCGATGTCACTTGTACGAATTGTCTACACTTAAGCTGGATTTATCTCTCAAATATGACAGTGATAGAGAACAAGAACAAGTGAAAGAGTAAACCTCTCAATTTCAAAAATCGAAATTTATTCGTTTTGCATATTTTTACACTTTGAGCTGTATAAAATATGCTCGTGAAAGAATACTTGAAAATTCGAAAAGATGGGGGTGGCTTCTTGAGAATAATTATGCGCGGCGGGAAAAACTTACAGTAAATGCTCTACAAGTGTCAGTCAGTTTGGATTCTACAAGTGTCAGTATAGATGGTCCTACGCCTAGGTCTGCGTCATTGCTGCGCCTATGTTATCCTCGCTCGCTGTCAGTCAAGGGTGTAACGCTACACCACTCGGTTTCTTTTACGAGATATCACGAAAAATATAATTTTTTTAATTTTACTTTTTTTCATCTGAATTTTGTTTTAACATGTTGGTGAGATTTTTCTGATGAAAATGATATCAAACACGATATAATTTGAACAACATTTACTTATTAATACTTATTGAGTAATTAATTTAATGTCGGCCTACCTCCACGTAAAAAAAAATGTAGGGCCGATTCTACAAGTGTCAGTAAAATGTAGGACCGATTCTACAAGTGACAGTCAAACTGCAGGCCAATTCTCCAACTGGCAGTCAAACGGGTAGGCCGACTCTATGTAATGTAATACAGGGCGCCTGTTTTATCTCAATACAGTGAAATATCTGGCGTGACAGTGAACGTGTTAATAAGTAAATGTTGTTCAATCCTTGTCTACGTTCGGCAAACTACAAAGGCGGGCGCGAGGCTCGAAAACGTAGACCCTGACTCTACAAGTGTCAGGTTTAGATTCCTTGCGGACTGACACTTGTGGAGAATTTACTGTATTTGAAACTTCAAACGCAATTTTCTCGAGAATTTTGATTTCTTAGTAACAGATACCTTTTAAATAAGCTAAGTTTGTTTTTTTTTTGTAAAACAGCAAGTACAGTTTAATACTAAAAATATTAACAAGTATAATGTAAAATTTTTCATATTGATGTTCTTTTTATAATATAAAAAATGATTCATAACACAAGAGTAAGCAGGTATCCAATAGCACGTGTCGTTGAGCGATTAATCAACAAATTAAAATGACTTTTAATTTCGCTTTTTGAGTTCGATAATAATGTACTTCGCGTAAGATTAGTATCTTAAGAATTTAAATTACTAACGTATTCTCATTACACGATTCATTTCGGTGACAGTGGCAGTAAAGTTCGTCAGCAGTTTGTTCGATTTAAGCTGAAGTAACTATTCCAACAGCGCGTGCACCGATTCAATAAACTTTATTTTACCGTGACAGAAATAGATCGATGCCATATAAAGCACAAACGCAAAAGCAAATGTTACATGTCAATCTGTCGATGTCACAATTTATATAACCACGACAGATACAATAAAGAAACAATGGATTTATGCGAGAATCGGGTAGT